AGCCTCTAGTTATTAATGATGCCAGTCATTAGGGGGCGGGGCTAAAAATGAATACCTGCTGTTGCATTACTCCCCTGGAGTCACACGTCAGATGGAATTTAAATTTCATTTTATTTGTTCACACAGCTGTAAAACTAAAAAAAATCACGTGGATGAAACACCATGTGACTGTGTTTTGGCCATTTCTATAAATAAACCTGAGCAGGAGTCAGTTGGTCCCGGTACCGGGCCGGCCGAGTTTAAGGGTTTAAAGCAGAAGTAGGCCAGTCAGAACCTGATGCCAATACTGGAAGAGAGAACAGGTTCTTGTGCCGTCCCTAGCTAAAGCCGACCAGTCAACCTTTTTTCTGAGCATAAACCAGGCTTAACAAGAAATGGTTCCTGCTTCCCTTCACACTAGGGCTGTGTCAATAGAAATGTTCCTTTCTAATACCGTACCGATAACGTCAATGTTTACCAGAAGCACAGCTGATCTATCCGTATACTGGTTTTATTTCTGGTGCCAATATCAGATTGGTTCATCCCCCTTTACACCTCGTGCTACGTTCAGACCGCAAAGCGCTGGACTCTGCAAAGAAGCTGCTGTTGCTTCATTTTTTATGCTTTTTTACATTAAGGTCCGACATCCCTCAAGCGCATCTTTGTTGCTCCTGAATCGCGTAATCTATAAAGCAGGGCACACACAGTACGTTTGATTCCATCCTTGCCATCTAACCAATATGATGAGTTGAACTAGCATTAATTCATACAATTCATTTATTTGAATTCTAAAAATTAAAGTTTTCAGCCGAACAGCAATGATGAACCTGCAGTGCAGCATTCCATAACCAGCTATTGTAGCATCTAGGCTAGAGCTGTCAGTCTGGGAAAGAATCTGGTTGTTATTCGAAATTGTAAAGGTTCACTTTTTCTTGCAACAGACTAAAATGCAACAAAGACTAATAATAGTTTTCATCCTGAAGACTAAGACTAAATCTACATGGCTGACAAAAAAACTGTACAGTCATGGTCAAAAGTTGAGAATGATTCAAATGTTAGTATTTGCAAAGTCTACTGCTTTAGTTTTTATAACGGCAATTTGCATATACTCCAGAATGTTATAAAGAGTGATCAGCGTAACAGCAATTAATTGCAAAGTTAATATTTGTCTAGAAAATGAACTTTATCCCCCAAAACACATTTCAACGTCATTGCAGCCCTGCCTTAAAGGAGCAGCTAACATGGCTTCAGTGCAGCAATCATTGCACTGCATAAAAGTGGCCTAACAGGAAAGAGAATGGCAGCTAGAAAGATTGCACCTCAGTCAACAATCTATGGCATCATCAAGAACTTCAAGGAGAGAGGTTCCATTGTTGCCAAAAAGGCTTCAGGGCGTCCAAGAAAGACCAGCAAGCACCAGGACTGTCTCTTAAAAGTGTTTCAGCTGTGGGATCGGGCTACCAGCAGTGCAGAGCTTGCTCAGGAATGGCAGCAGGCAGGTGTGAGTGGATCTGCACGCACTGTGAGGCGGAGACTCTTGGAGCAAGGCCTGGTTTCAAGGAAGGCAGCAAAGAAGCCACTTCTCTCCAGGAAAACCATCAGGGACAGACTGATATTCTGCTAAAGGTACAGAGAGTGGACTGCTGAGGACTGGGGGAAAGTCATTTTCTCTGATCAATCCTCTTTCCCATTGTTTGGGACATCTGGAAAACAGCTTGTTGGGAGGAGACGAGGTGAGCGCTACCACCAGTCTGGTCTCATGCCGACTGTAAAGCATGAAACCATTCATGTGTGGGGTTGCTTCTCAGCCAAGGGAGTCGGCTCTCTCACAGTCTGACCTAAAAACACAGCCATGAATAAAGAATGGTACCAGAATGTCCTCAGAGAGCAACTTCTCCCAACCGTCCAAGACCAGTTTGGTGATGAACAATGCCTTTTCCAGCATGATGGAGCACCTTGACATAAAGCAAAGGTGATATCTAACTGGCTCAGGGAACAAAACAGAGAGATTTTGGGTCCATGTCCTGGAAAATCCCCTGATCTTAATCCCATTGAAAACTTTTGGTCAATCATCAAGAGACGGGTGGACAAACGAGAACCAGAATGCAAGAATGGACGCTATCAGTCAGGATTTGGTCCAGAAGTTGATTGAGAGCAGCCAGGGAGAACTGCAGAGGTCCTGAAGAAGAGGGGTCAACACTGCAAAGATTGACTTAGTGCATTAACGCATTCTGTCATTAAAAGCTTTTGTTGCTCATAATATAATTGCAATTGTATTTCTGTGTGTGATGACAACATCTGACACACATGAAAACCAGAGGGCAGCAGATCATGTGAAAATATAATATTTGTGTCATTCTGAATACTTTGGCCATGGCTGTACCTGACCCAGTGTCCGTCTTTATGCGAAAGTCTGATCATTGGGTTGTTCTGTGATGTGACACTGAGCTCACATTACACAGGACTATCCATTGGAAGTGCACTTAGAGTTTTCATCACATGCAGTTCACCCGACTTCATAAAACTTCATAAACATAGAAGAACAAAGGGGCCAAGGCGTCAGCCCTGTGGAACCCCAATTCCACATCCTCCGCCCCGCTCACGTACTTAATGCGTCCATGAATGTCTTTTCCGTCCGCGACCGTCAACATACAGAGTCGATCTGTTTTTGCTCTGCTCAGGTCAAGATGATTGCAATCGTACCAAACAGGGAAAAAAATGGCAAGAAGATCCGGTTTGTCAAATTAAAATATGGTAAAGACGCATCGGTAACTACAGATTAGAGCATAATTCTTATATATTCCCAAAAACTAAGACAGCTTAATTAAATGATTGAATGCAAACTATTGGTGCTTCATTTTACCAGAAGCAGATGACTCATCTCCATCCTAGTTATCTCTGTTAGAAAAATCCACAACAGAAAGAAAATATTTGGGCAGAAACTGAACAAATGCTGGATGCTGGTGGGGATTTTTTTAATATGTCATATTAAATTACGCCTTCATATCCGCATGTTTTGGTCCTAAGAGTTTGATCATATTATCGCGCATGCTCTCATAAAGCTCCGAGGAAGCCGGTGCGGAGCAGGAAGGGAGGAACAGCGGAGGCTGTAAGTTTGCTTTATGCAGGCGGTCTGGAGCGGAGAGGGGCGGAGCCTGAAGATGTGGGGTTTAGAGGTAACAGTTGGGAATTGTTTGTCAGGTGTTTTCGCCTACAGCGGGAGTTAATTAACCCAAATGTGCCATGGTAACTAATAGCATTCAGCCAACTGCCAGAAAACCAGCAGAACTTCAGCACTCAACAGAACACAGTGGAACCAGAGGAGGTTCTGTGGGTTTGGACGGGTTTGTGTTTCACTGTTTATCCTCCTAAAGGTCAAAGTTCATTCAGCGTTGAGGATGTGGGCTGAAACCCGGGTTTGGTTCCGGTAGAACCAGTCGGTACAGTTCTACTTTGGGCCAGAATTAACTCTTGGATTGGAACAGCTGTGAGAAATGAACGATGATGATGCTGCAGGTTTGATTCTTCTGGGTTTGTTTTGGTTTTATCGCTCTGAGCAGAACCGAGCTGGTGGTTCTGATCAGTTCTAGAGGCCGCATGCTGCCTGTGATGAAGGCCTCTGCTCCTCTACCTCCCGCTCTGTGACTCTTTGACCCCGGCCCGTCATAATTAAGCCCGATCGATCCGCTGCCATCGACTGCTCTGGGAGTGGGTCGGTGCAGACGTGCTCGGTTCTGGTGCCGGGGAGCAGTCCAGCGAAAGGGAAAAATTACAGTTTTTATTTTTCATTTTATAATAAACTGATGCAGGGAAAGTTTGTCTAATCTGCAGCTTCAAATGAGCAAAGTTTGTATGATTCTGATGATTCTGGTTAATATCAGCGGCAGCTATTGGAGTTTTCTCCGGGGGGGGGCTATAAATTCATAACAGACGTATACCAAAACCAATCAAACGTATACGGAGTTATTATACCAGTATACTTGTATAAATGCCAACAACAAAAACATTATTAAAACACTTAATAAACCGAGAACATATTTTCATTTACAGGTTTACTTTTGTACATAAATCTTTCCCTTCTGAGGCTTTCTGAAGGTAAATCTGTGTTTTAATGGCCCAATATTGTGTTACTAACATAAAAAAATAATATTTAGCAGTTTAATAATGGAATAGCTATTTGTCAGCTTTATATTTTCTTAAAATATATAAAAACTTTTTCTTTTCTGAGAATGTTTTTATTTATGAGCAACTATGCAAATTAACAGACACCTTAAAAAAATGACACAATATTCTATTGTTTTCCATGTGAATCCCAGTTTGTTCATTCTTCTTTGCCAAGGTCCTGACCGACTGAACCAGACAGTTCAAAGAGGTTCTGGCCGACTGAACCGGACCTGTAGAAATTTCCAAACGGTTCATGTTTCATGATTGCTGCTCTGGTTCTGGTCTGATGAGATTGGGCTGGGGACCGGGTCAGAGACAGACCCTGTGGTGGTTCGGTTCTGCAGGTTTAGAGTGACCCGGTTCTGTAAAGCTTGGTCCATTCAGGATGGAGATGTTCTGTCTGGGTGGCTGCAATTTGGAGCAGAACCAAGAATGGACCAAGGCTTAGAGGACCCGGTTCTGGAGAACCCACAGCAGAACAGCTGTTTGGATGGAAGCTGCTGCTGGTTCTTCTCGCTCAGGGCAGAACCTCCTTCCTTTAGCTGGACCGGGTCGGACCGGGTCAGTGTTCTGATGGCAGGTGTTCTTCCTCTTCAGTCTACAGACATTTTTCAAAATAACATCTTTCACTGTTGCACCAGAACCGGACCCAGATCAGTCAGCTGGTCCGATTGGATCTTTGAAACCAGCTGAATGAGTTCTGGAGCTGCAGGTCCTCTGCGTCCAGAACATTCAGGAACTTTCAGGTTCTGGTTGCACCTGCTGGGTTCTGTGATCCGTCCTCCAGAAGCGGCGCCACCTGCTGGTGTTTGAGGCAGAGCGTCTCTGTTGGTTCTGACCCGCTGTTTGTCCTGCAGAAGTACCGGCACCACGATGAGGACTCGTCCCCCCAGGAGCAGAGCTCCCCCCAGCTGACCGAGGAGCCGGGGGGTCCCGAGCTGGTGCAGGTGGCAGAGAAGAACCTCTCCCAGATCGAGAACGTCCATGGATACGTCACCCACGCTCACATCTCGCCGATGAAGGTAGGGGGCGGAGTCTCTGACCTCCGACCCTGATCCGGGCCTCGCCTCTTCCTCAGTAGGCTGAGGTCCAGATCAGGAGCTCCTCCTCTTCCTGTCTCTGTGCATCACCTCCTCTTGTCCTCATGTTGGCTGTGGTCCTGTCTGTTACCGCTGAAGGCTCAGGGTCTGACCTTTGACCTCTGACCTTCAGTCAGATCCCTGATGGTTCGGTCCTGCAGGAAGGCAGCAGCAGGAAGTAGCTGGTTCTCTGAAAGGAATCGGATCAGAACCAGGGTTTATTTCTCAGATTTATTTTTTATTTTCTCATCAGTCAGTTATAAATAATAAAGCTTGATCCTCAGAGGATCCAGATCTCTGCCATTCAGAACCACAGAGTCCAGTAGGGGATCAGCAGGAGGGATGAACTGAGCCGATACTCTGTCAGGCTCTAGCAGCTCTGGTCCATGTGAACTGGATGTGCTGTTCCTATACTTGTGTGTCCTCGTGAAACATCATCAGCCTCAGCCCTAGTACGGTTCCTGGTCACAAGAACAGAAGACAGAAAACGGACAAAGTCCTCGGACGTTGTTCTCGCCCCTTCCTCTTTACCCAACATGCACTGCAGCAGCTTCCAGGTTAGAGCTCAGAGTATTATGTTAAAAGTTCTCTTTTCTTTTGCTGCTGTTCTATAAAAGTGTGTTTTAAGTTCATTTGAGGCGAGAATATTATACTCTAAGCCAGGAGTCGTTTTCAAGACCCCCAAACCGATGGTGAGATGGAGCGGGGATCCCCTAATTATATATATTGCATGAAATTGTGTTCTATCAAACTGGCCCTATAGTCATTATATTAAGTTATTTTGGCCCTGGGATTATTAAAGTATTTCTGATTCTGGGGGAATATAAACAGAAAGTATAATCAACCCAAACATTTGCGACATCCATGCAGTACCTCCATGGACACCCTAGGGGTCGTGGACCCCCTGTTGAAGACCTCCGCTTTAAGCGTCACTATATGGCCCATTTACTGTTTTAGTGCGAAATACAAAAAAAAAAAACCTTCGTTGAGAGGTCAGTGGCAACCAGCTGACCTCTGAGGCTAACCGCGAGGCTAACGTTAGCCTTGGCCGCTGCAAATGAACATTTACAAATAAAACAAAAGATCCTCTATCAGAGCCAGCGGGTCTTCACACAGAGGGCTGCTGCAGGCTAACGGTAGCCCTGGCCACTGTGGGCGGGATAATGTTAGCCTGTCCGCAGCATTCTTGGTGCTGATGGAGGTTTTTTGTTTTATTTGGCAAAATGTTGATTTGATTTGTGTTTATCTGACTGTGCTCATTATTATTCCCTCACTAAATGAAAAATAATGTATTATTATCTAGAGACTATTAATAACAGGATGTGATGTCACTACCTGATCTGACCCAGAAGCACGATCTGTCCTGCGCATGCGTGAACAGATATATATCCGGGTGTCCATAAATAATGTAATTATGGTACTAAAACTAATTATTCCTATAATTATCTCACCAAATAATGCAGACACATCTTAAAAAATGTTTTATGACATATGTGAGACAATTTTTATGCTTTTTACGTGTTCTACGTTAAACAGCTTCTCTGACATCATCTGCTCAGAGCAGTCTGTCAAAATCTGATTTAACCATGTTTATCTGCATTTTAGTTGGTTCTTTCTTTAGATTACGCACTAAATGACATATGATTAAAACGAAACGAAAACATAAAACTGAAAAACATTTATGTCTAAATCCCGAGCTGAAAAAGTTAGCTCCTGGAAGTAGCGTAGGATCCCATTTCAGGTGCAGATTGGGCAGAGACCAGTGATAAAACAGGATTTTAAGGCATTTCATGTCTCAGGAAATACATTGATAACCTTTAACACATTATATTTTAGTATCTTCACTGCCTTTGGGGAGGGAAAATGTCATTCAGGTATTCTAAAAACGATACGGATGCGCTAATGAGCTGATAGCGCATGTGCAGAACCGATCGTGCTTGCGGGACGGATCTGGTAGTGACGGGTGAGATGCAGCTCCAGACCAGCTGAGCGTGTGGTGATGTCATCAGCGTCAGTTGACCCAGATTTATGCTGCGTGCTCCCGTTCTCCCACTGTCCAGACTTTCTTTGATCTGGTCAAGATCATACTTGGCGAGAACACGAGTCAGTACTGGTGTTCTCGTGAATTGAAAAACGAGCTATGATTAATTTGATAGTGAAATGGAGGGAAAGAGGAGAAACAGAAGCAGCATTTAGCCGCACAGATCAGGGATCAGTTAATGATGATCAGTCCGGATCAGCCGCTCTCTGATAGGCAGACTTCGTACATCTCTCCTCAGAGAACAGCCGTCTCTGTCTGAGGAGCTAAGGCCGTAAAAACAATGATAGACCAGCAGTTGGATGAATTTTGACCCTTTCAGGCTTCCATAGATCTACAGGAAGCTGAAACTGCTTTAATAAACTGAACTCATCAGGTTTTTTTTTTTTAACTAACCATCAGCGTTGCTCTCACATCCTGATCTTTATTTGCATCATGTTCACTTCCACAAAATTAGGTTGTCATGGCAACCCCCTGCTGCACGTATACTAAGCAAATGAAACCTACAGGAACATTAATGTTCTGATCCGATCTGTTCATTATCATCGATCCAGAAACAGAAGCTGTTCGTGTCAGAAAAACATTGATCTTTATTAACGTTATTCTTTATTAGCTTTTAGGTGATTTTAGTTTGATTCATAGAAATACCTCTCAGCGCTCTAGAATCACTCTGGTAGCAGTGGCGCCGCTTTCCTTCAGCGGATCTAAATCTGATGTTTGCAGATTGAAGGCCCTGTTGTTTTCACTAACAATCATTAAACTGGTTCTGAGGGAACGTAGTGAGGAAGTCTCTGCTGAGACGAAGCTTCAGCTTCTTATATTTGGAATAAAAAAGTCTGAATCAGAGTTAAAATGTTTTCATTGCTTCGTACTGAACCTGGACCTTCCATCGCTGGAGTCACATGACCCTCAGAGGCAGAACCGCTGGGTTTGGTCGTCTGGCTCTGACTGAAGCACTGCTCCTCATCAGATGAGGTTAACTGGATCATGTTCTGATCCGATCCAGAAACTTCTACTGTCGGATAGCTTAGAACCATACAGATCATCTGAGAAAAAATATGAGATGTTCAAATTTAAATAAAAATAATGAAGAAATCAGCAAACATGTATTGTTTATTAATCAGTCAATTTAATTGAATTAGTTCTCAGAAACAATATCTTCATAAATTGGGATAGAATAGAATATTATTAAATTAAATTCAGATTATTTCTATAGTGCCATTTCACAACCAAATCATCATCAATCGTCAGATTGATTCAAAGTTTTCTGTCTAAGGAAAAGCACTTAATTGCAACGACTCATTGACTCAAAGGCAATCCCCCACACTGAGTGGAGAGGAAAAGAAGAGGAGATTCAAAAGGCAGCTGTAAAAGGAAACACACAGCCAGGCAGACAAGCTCCGAGCCAGCTCCCATGTCAGAGGATGAAGAGAGCACATCCACTCAGTCACGGTCAGAGAAACAGGACTACACTGGAAAACAGGCCAAGCTCCAACATCTAGAAACAAAGGTGTTGATGGCAGCAGCAGCAGCCACAGCCCAGAATAGAGATAGAATGATGTAATGGGGGTCCCTATGTCCTCCAGCAGTCTAAGCCTATAGCAGCAGAGCTATAGAGATAGCTCAGGGTGCTATATGCAATACAAGCAACATGATAAAACAAGAACGGCTCTGTTTTCTCACAGATGTCATGGCTCAGTGTCATTACTTCCTGGTTCAGGTAGAAGCAGGAAGTGTTGTTAAAAAAAATAAATATATATATATATATATATATATATATATATATATATATATATATATATATATATATATATATATATATATATAAAACAAGATAAACACTGAAGAAAACCCCATACCTTTAGCTCTGGTAGATCTAGATCTAAGGTAGAGCTGCTCTGGTAGATCAGCCACTCTTCAGCTATAGTTCAGGATGAAGAGGTCTGATCCACATCGGTCTATAAAACAGCCACAGTGTCAGAGAATTGCCTCATTGAAGCAGGTTTATGTGGTTTGATGGATGTAATTAATTAACAGAGATTATATTGATAAATCCGTCAGGCCTTTAAAGATGGAGGATCGACCAGAACACTGCAGTCACTGCTTTGATCTATCAGAGGTTTTATTGAAGAGAAGAAGGTCTAAATGGATCGGTGTAGGGCTGCAACTAACGATTATTTTGAAAATCGATGAATCGGCCGATTATTTTTTCGATTAATCGATGAATCGGACACAAAATATTTTTTTTATATTAACCTCTTTATTCCAAAATAAACATTTTAGACAGAACAAACAAGCACACAAGTACAGGTTTCTCATTAACTGTACTGGTGCAATATGAAAAATAAATGTTTGTTTTAAAACTACGCAAACTTACATGAGAAATGTAGCTGTACATCCACAAAATATAGGGTACTTTGTTTCATAAAGCGCAAAAAGAGACAGGCATTTTTGTTTTTTAAAGCCCCTAAGGGGTTCAAACAATAGGCCCCCCCATTTCAACAAATGAGGTTTTTTTAGACTAGAAGAGTTCTGCCTTTTAAGACAGGAAAGTATAGCAGTTAAAGTTGCTACTTGAGAAAATACTGAACCATAGAGATAAAAATAGCCCTGTGATTCAAATTATAAACTGTATTTGGAATAAAAATGAGAGAACTAGGGGTTCTAAAAAACACATCCTCCAAAGACAGATATTTACATGGGAATGAGGCATATAATTAATTGACATATTACTGATCATGCTGGATTTTATTCTGCTTTACTTCCATAAATTGCAGTATCTTCTTTTCTTTATCTTTGCCAGAAGATTAAAACTTTAAAAGCCTTGCCCTCATAATTTGCAAGTTAATTTATTTATAAAGTAAATATAAACGCTGCTTAAGCTAATTCAAATGAAATTAAAAGTAAAATAAGTAGCCAACCTTATCACTGTCTGTAACCTACTAACACGGTAAGGAAAGCATCAGATGAGCTACCTGAGAAACTAACTTACGTTTCCCCACTTTAAAACCAAACAAACATGGTTACTCATCCTGCTGATCAGCTCTCTTCACTGCCATTGAAGGCTCCAACGTGTTTTCTTTTCAGGTGCTGCGTCATAACAGTGGTGCTTCCGTGCCATGTTTATTTGTTTTTACAAAAGTCGCGTGTTACGACTTTTTTCACTTTACAAAGCGCAGGCTATTTTAATTATTGTGATCAATTTGCGCCGTCAATCCCGGGGCATGCGAGCTTCATTTGCAGTCTGGACGCTGAGGTTAAACTCCTCACTAAAATCCTGCGGCTCGGACTGCAGCGCTGAGAGGGATTCTTGTGGGAGAGGGAGAAAGGCGTTGGGATGGGGGAGGCGCCCCACGGCAGCAGCTGCCGCTGGAGGACAAGAGTAGGAACGATACATGCTTTCACGTAAGAGTCTCCAAAAGCCGCCAGTGACACCGTAAAAAGTCGCCAGATTTGTCGCTAGTCGCTTTTTAAAAAAAATAGTCGCTGGAGGGGTCTGAAAAGTCGCTGAGTTGGCAACACTGCAACTGCGGCGCTGACTCGCTCCGCCATATTTTTTTTTCTTCCCCGGGATGACGGCGGCGGCGGATGACGCATTAATCGCGCGACACAACTAATCGATGATTAAATTCGTTGCCAACGCTTTTAAAAGTCGATTTTTATCGATTTTATCGATTCGTTGTTGCAGCCCTAGATCGGTGTCTCCATGCAGAGGAGACCGGTTCTGTTGGAGAGAAGCTCTACTGCCCCGATCATCTCAACGGAAACAGCAGCAGAACCTTTGTGATCAAAGAAGCTTTTACTTTGAAAACTAACATCCCAAATCGTGGTGGGGAAGATTCTCAGTCATCCAGGTCATAGTCATTCCAAAAGAGTTTAAAAACAATCCACTGGAATTTGTTTCCATGTTTGAAGATGCTTTGCTTCCCATACAGGAAGCCTTTTCAATAAAAAATGTCAGAAATAGCGTTGAGTTGCAGGCTTTATACAGCAGCCCAACTAAGCCTTGTTTTAGTTTAGAGAACATGCAAATAGAAACAGGCGAATGGGTCCAGCCCTCTGGAATGGGGGTCGTTTGGCTTTCTTTGGGGTTCTGATCCCCAGTAGAGGAGCCCACCTGTTCCTCCTCTCATCTCTATGATGTGACATTGCTGCCTGTAGCATCAGTGTGTGGCTTCATAGAGAGGATCTTTAATACCTGCTGGTTTCCCTGCGTTTGATTGGCTGAATCCCTCTGACATCATGAAAGCAGAGAAAGGAAGCGACACCAAGAACAGAACCATCTGCTGCTCCACTGCTGAGGTTTTGGTCAGGATGATGTGAGGAAGTGCTGCCCTCCAGTGGCGGCTCAGGCACACTGCAGGAGCTGCTGCAGCTTTAAACATTAAACTCAGACTGTGGATTAAAGCAGCTGAGAGGTTCTGGATTTGGGTTCTAGGTGGAACTGAACCAACATCCTGAAGAACCTGGCTGATGTTTCTGGTTTAGTCCAGCAGGGGGCGACAATCACACACCAGTCCACTAATTGGGATTAATGACTCCCAGTTGGTTCTGCTCAGTGTAGTTTGGTCCTGGTTGGTTTAGAGGAGATGGGACTGAGTTCTGTTTGGTTTCATCATCATGATCTGGACCGGGTTCCTGCAGAACCTTCTGGACCTCAGGTTGCTGGACTCTACTGACGCCTGACTGAGGAATGGATTTAAAGCTGAAGAAAAAAAGGGTTTGGGGTTTGACTGCTGGTTCTGAATGACCAGTCTGACGCGTCGGTCTGTCAGAGGTTCTGAGGTTCGAGTTGGAGCGCCGTCGATGCGCTAACATCTCGTCTGCTCCGTGTGTCTGGTCCCGTCTGCGTCACCACATCACTAAAAACAACGCGGGCCGCTGTCTGGTCCTACTCCGGTTCTGCTCTGAGGCTCGGCTCGGACGGGAACCGCCACACGGCCTTGTTTTTATGATGTGAGCCGTTCCAGTTCTCATTCATCAGTGGTCTGTCCGTCATCGGTCAGCTGCTCTCTGTCCCTCCATCTGTCTCACTCTTCTTCTGTGGTTTTATCTGAACTTCCTGACTCTTCTTCCACCTGATCCGGCTCCAGGTTCCTCCTCAGACCTCCTGGAGGTGACCCGTCATCTGTAGGCGTCTCTGTGCACAGACCCAAACCCCCCCTCCGCCTCAGAGGCGTCAACGAACAAATTCTTTGTTCTTCAGTAGAAATGTTGCCAATCTAAACTTTACTGGAGTTTTTATTTCTAATCCTTAGATTTTAAAAACAGATGTGTTAGTTTAGTTTAATTTGAGCTCATTTTCAATATGACCTGTCGGCGTTTCAAAGAAAATATAAACCATCAAAATAATGACTTTCATCCAAACAAGTAATTTCTTTGTGGTTGGACTCGGTGCTGCCCCAACTTGTTGTTCACCACAAACAGAAATAAATCATTTATCAAGATGATCTACAGTTAAATCTGACACTGTTACCTTTCGTAATAAAACTAAGAAAATGAAGTCTAAGGAAGTTATCCACCAGAATTGGAGGAAAATGTTCCTTTAATAGTGTAGTGCAGTAAAGCTTCTGGCCTTAACTTTTTTCCTGCATTACTTTTATAATTTTAGTACTTTAAAAAAATAAAAAACTTTTACTTGAGTAAAAATCTTCAGTTGATTCTCTAACTTCTACAAAAGGGTCTTTAAACAGTGAAGTCCAGAACACCCTGAACCTGATTTTGCATCTGATCCGACAGGAAATCGTGTCGGTTGAGATTGTGGCGTTTAGCGCTCATGGAAAGTCTGGCGACGATCCAGACCGGATTTCCTGCAGGGGCAGCGTAGCTCCCACTGAGATAGAGTCTAGGTCTATGTTAGTCAGACTCAGCAGCAATTCAGCTGCAATTTTATGAATCTGACAGGAGGAGAGACACTATTACAAAGAAAAATACATCCGCTTTGGAGGAAAATACAAAATCGGTCAGAGAAATCGGTCATTCTGGACTCGCACATCACTTTCAGTGTTTTTGCAGGACAGACTGATGCAAAAACAATGAATGAAACATTAAAAAAGGAAAGTACCATGATAGGGGTTTAGGAGGACAGAAAAAGATGAAGTAGTGCTCCTCTTTGAGCCTCACGGAAACCAAGGGAGAGAGTGCAGTTTATCAATTTCTAATGAGAAATAACCTCAGGAGGAGAAAAATGGAGTAAAGTATTGCTCCTCTTTGAGCCTCACAGAAACCAAAATAAGCAAAATAAAGCAGACAGAGCAGGAAAGAGCAGCAGATCTCTCACCTCTTTATGAAATGAAAGAAAAACTCGGATAAATTTCCCTGATCTCTCTGAGAATCAGCTCTCTGCCTCAGTCAGCATAGAAACCGTCCCACGCCGTTTAGTGCCGTTTTTCTTTAGACATAGATCTCATTATGTTTTTAATTTATGAACATTCTCTATCTGTTCTGGATAGAGATGCTGCACTGAGGGGCTTTGCTTTATTGAATGGGCGTTTTATTTTAAAGCTACAGTGTGTAACTTTTAGCGATATCTAGCGGTCAGACTGCAGACCGCAGCAACATGAACATCTCCCCCCCACCGCTTCTCCCCCCCAACAGTACGGCGAGCGTTACGGGACAAAATGTCTTCCACGACTTCCGCATCACCTACCTTCTCAAGTGATGAGGTTTGTTTACATAGATAATTTTACAGATAGTATTTCATTAGTCTGTGTAGGGTATAGATTTCATGTAGACTTAAGATAATAAATATACCCGCTATTTTTTCTACATCGTTGTGACGTTTTGGCGATCTCGCAATCGCTAGTTTGTTGGCTCTGCGCTGCCGTAGCGCAAAGATGTCTGCCTCCATGGCTGCGAGACCCGCTCCTATGTAATTATAAATAACGAATTCTAAGGCAACGCAAATATTAAGGTTAAGAGGCTGAGCTCGTAGATGATGATAAATAACATAGTTATGTATAATATATTACATTTCTGACTGTATATCCCTGTAATTATTACACACTGTAGCTTTTATTGTTTAAAAAAAAAATTCAGAATGTTTTTCAATTCAAATCTGGGAAATAGTTTTAATTTATGTGGCACAGAGACACAGGTGAAAATAATCTGCTCAGATCTGCCCACCCTGCCCCATCAGGGACTCTCTATATGCATTCAGTTGGACATGGAAATAATCCGATCGGAGATTAAAAAAGGCAGCATTGAATACTTTTGACACTCTGCTCCTCCTAAATGCTGCCCTCTGGTGGACAGATGATGGAATAGCTAAAGAAAATCCTCCTAGATGAGAATTAAAAGCTTGTTAAAGGTTAAAATCAGTCTAAAACCCGAGGACCGTCTTCATGGATCAACATGGAGGTCAGTTTTTCTCCTGTCGTGAAACGATGGACCCACTAAATCAGGTTTGGTCCGTTTTCAGCACCAATGAGTCCAACTTGATAGGAACCGATCATCGGCCGTGTCGAGCCGTTTATCCGTCATAAACTCTGATAATTGATCCGATCAAAGGAACCAGTAAAGGTTTCCAGATCCAGTTTCCCGTCTCATCAGACCGTAGAACCTACCGGACCCTCATTCCTGGAATGGGTTTGGGTTGTTCTCCAGAACCGGCCCGGTTGCTTTGAGTCTGTGCACAGAGAGAGGATGTTGGAAAAGCTGAGAGGCTGTGAAGTTTTCCTGCAGAACCTGTTTCCTTCTGCTGTATTTTGTCCTCTGAGGGCCTCCGTATCTCTCCCCCCTATATCCTGTAGGTAGCGTCTCTGGAGTGCATCTTTGACGGCTCCTCCTCGTTAGGACACTTCCACTCGGAGCTCCCCTCCCCCACGCCCTCCACTCTCTACCCCCACGGAGAGGACAGCCCCCTCCCCTCCTGTTCGTCCAACCCCTACCCCCCGATCCAGGTAAACCCCCCTCTCCTAACACCCCCCCTCCCCGCATAGAGGAAGCGGCTCAGGCATCATGTCTGACATGTTGGTTTGAATCCTCAGAAACGAGTCCAGCCGGGATTAGAATCAGAACCACGGTTCTCCTGAAGCTCTGCTGACTCACAGCTAAAAGGTCCTCGGTTCAAATCCCTGCCTGAGGTCTACATGGAGTTAGCATGCTGGCCTCCTACAGTCCCATAAATCAGTAGCGTTGATGGGTCGGTGGACTGGTCCGCCGTCCTCTGTCTCCAGGTGACCGTAGCTCCAGCAGGGAGCCTCTTCTCCTGCGATGCGTTCAATGACCGTCGTTTTTCCTACCTTCAGTCATATTTAATGCTCAGCTTTAAGATCCAGAGCCAAACAATTACTTCCAAACCAAAACTCTCTTTCAGTTCTGGTTGTTAGTATAACCCTGTTGTTTTATTTCCTTTATAGATTAAATGTCCCAGAGGAGATTGTAGTTGATTTTATAGCAGTTTACTTCAGTTGACTTTTCTCTGTTCAAAGTAGGGGAATAGATGTGGGGTTTCAAAACTTTCTGATAAACCAAAGTGGGGCTCAGTTAGAAAGTGAAAAAGTTTGTGACCCAAGAACCAGGAGAGCATCGGTTTAAAGAAATCCAAAGACCCTCTAAAACAGAAAGTTCAGCTAATCAATAACATCAATCAGTGGCCCCGCCCCCAGGGGAACATTTAATTATCTCAGTTTTTTAATCAACTAGGGCTGCTACACAGAATTATTCTGTTAATCCATTTCTCTGCTGATAATTTATTCCATTAATCATTGGATAGCAAAAGGTTCTTTAATTACGATTTTTTTACAGAATTTAAAGCAGGTGAAAATAAAACTTTTCCATTTGAGGCGTTCTGGTTATTGATGCACAAAATTTTTCCTCTTAAATGCAATTTTTTCTGTTTTATAATTTTGGTATAATTACTGCTCTGTCAGCTAAAGGCATGTTTTAGGCTACGTTCACACTGCAGGCCTAAATGCTCCATTCAGATTTCTTTGCGTTGCCGTTCAGATTTTCAGATAAATGCGACTTGTCAGTGATCTCCTGTTTGAACTGCATTCATAGAGCTTAAATGTCCCGCATGCGCAACAGAGACGCCATGATGTCACAAGCCAGCGTGCCCTGTGTTTCCAGAAGTAAACATGGACGGTAGTAGGGATGGAACGGTTTATGAAAACTGTCCGAACCGTTCGGTTCAACTGTCTCGGTTCGGTTCGCGTGTGTTGCGTTCGGTTCATGCGCTGCTCCTTTTTCTCATAGGTGAAGCATTTACACTCCAGAGCAGAAGGTGGCGGTACTGCGACCAAAGCCAACCACCAGTAGTAAACAAGAAGAAGAAGAAGCGAAGCAGCGTAGCCGGGTGTAGCAGAAAAAAAATCAGTTGCTGTGGAGAATTGTGTGGGTATGCAACGCATAAAAGTGCAACAGTGTGAAAGCATTGTTCAACACATTTTGTTTATGCTAACAGCAACATGACCAACATGTCACGCTAACCCCGAAATCCCACATACTCCGTCAGCGCTCCGCTCCGCCCCGCTGCGCTCCAGACCGGCTGCACAAAGGAAAGCCTACAGCCTCCACTGTGGCTCCCGTCCGCTCCCCTCTCAGTTCCTTGGAGATCGTAGAGGGCAAGCACCAGATGATTAAACTCAAAGCAGCAAAACATGCGGAAATGATCCAGGGTTTCCGCGGATCATTAAAAATAGTTACAATTCATTAATTTTGGGGGATTTTTTCATTAATTTAATAAATTTCTATAAATTTTTTTATTTTTCGGTGTAACAATCAACATACACCGAACCGAAAACCGTGACCACGGAACCGTGAACCGAACCGAACCGTGGATTTTGTGAACCGTTCCACCCCTAGACGGTAGTGCTGGAGCGCATTCAGCAATCGTTCCCAACCTTAAAAACTCAATCTTTTAAAGATTGTTCTATATAAATACTGCTCTCTGCATCATTGTCCGCCATGGTTTGTTGTTTTTCTTCCTGCTTCTGTGTAGGAAGACCCAGAATAGTGACCTATGTCTGGTGTTAATGGTGTTCAGGTCGGATGAATGCGACCTGGCCGTTCAGACACAGGTCGCATTGAAAAGATCAGATTCGTATCGGATTCAGGAGCACAGAGCCCAGCCTGGGTCGCACTGGAAAAAAATAGGTCTGAGTTGTTCAAACTCGCATGAAAAGATCAGATCCAGGTCACATATGGCTGCAGGGTGAACGTAGCCTTAGTCTCTACTCCAGTTAGGATTAATCCAACACTTAGTTAGCTGACAATTAATTCAGTAATCATTTACTTTATTTTCCAGTCTATAAACCGTCACTTTTTCCCACGCTTTGAACCATGCAGCTTATCAGAAGGTTTTCTTTAACCGCCAGAGGGGGGAGTCAGTTGGAAATCAAAGAATAAGGGGCTAATATTGGTTTAGCACAGCACGCTAGCTGCAGGAATAACAAAGGTCCAGAATTCACACATTTTAACATTTATTTGCCGCATTAAAGCCGCCAAACTAATGAACAGACTGGACTGAACTCCTGCAGAGCTGAAATAAAGAGCTGATGAAGCCCATCTTTCATTAGAAGCTCCCACTGCTGCGAGCTAACAAGCTAACGGGAGGCTAGCATTCTTCATCCCTACTCCAGGGGCTTTATGTAGAGCTCCCTCTACAGGTTTAGTGCGGGAGAGTTCAGTAGATATCAGCAGCTTATAGCCCAGTGTGGCTTACATATGTATATTTCCTGTTTAAAACAAGAACTTTATGATCACGGCTCATAGTGAGGTGCTGTATAGTCTGGAAAATACAGTAATATTCAGCCGTAATATCAAGCTTTAAAAATATACTTTTGTCTTTGACTGGATCCCCAATCACTCGAATATTTTAACATTTTATTAGTTATTGCTTTACATCGATGATGATGATGATGATGATGTCATTGTTCAGACGGCAGCAGGTCACTTTCCCTCCTGGGAAGCATTTGCATAGACCTGTGAAACCAAACTGAGGGAGAAAATCAGAGTACCAGGAGAAAATCCAGGCAGGAACAAGGAGAACAGGCTGATTCCATGTTAGAAGGACCCCAGGCTGGGATTTGAACCCGGGACCTTCAAGCATTGAAGGCAGCAGAACCAATCAGAGCTCCACCAACTTCCTACCTTACAGAGCCGCCTGTGGTTGGACTGACAGTAGAGGTTGATCTCGGCAGCCATCTTGTCGAGTTGCTGTCAGCATATAGAGGCTGTAAACTTTATCATGGGATAGACAAACACTACAGCATCCACATTAGTGCAGATAAGACATTAAATCTAACATATTTGATCTACACATTATCCAGTACGGTAGCAGTCTCCATAGACGGCAGCCGTCTCCATAGACGGCAGCCGTCTCCATAGACAAAGCGTTGGGACCCCCTGGGGGCCCGGTGCTACGTTCACAAGGGCACAGCATATTAGAGCACACAGAGGCAAAACTGAGGGTTAAAAAATGTTTTTAGCTCTCAAATATTTTTTCTTTTGTTTGATTCAGCTGTGGGAATGTTCTGTAGAGGGAAAAAAAGGAAGGAATTAAATATCCTCAGCTTCTGAATAGGAAAAAAAGACAAAAACCCAAAAGAGTCAGACGTGGTGAGCCGATCAAAAAAAACAAAAACCCAGAACGGTACAGCAGGAGGCCAAACCTAGACAGGGCCGTCAAAGCCCTTACTAGAACCGGACTATAGAAAACATATACGGTAATCTACAAAAAAAAAAAAAAGAGTCAAAAACAGGACAACCAGGCCAAGATCAGAACCAAAACAGCAACCAAACAACACCTAATAAAAATACGGCATGGCAGGATGGAGGCAACAGCTGCAGCCTACAGCTACTAGAGACGGGCTGACAGTAGACCTATTGTCAGCACGCATCCTCGTAGGCTCATCATCAAATATCCCAGCCTATTTATAGGCCGTACAACAGCCACAAATTAACGAGCCCAAATTAATTACAACAAAAGTATCCAAACTCCAAAATATACTAAACAAAAATCATTCAACTAAAGTCAATATTGAACAATGTAGAAAGAAAAATGACTCTGTGATCCCTGAGTAATATGGAGGACAAATGTTTTCCTTTAAATACATAAAGGTTAATGTCCTGTGAAATAAATAAACCATTAATTAATAATAGTAAAATGAATTTATTTTACCAAATTATACAATTTAACATAACATTTACTATCAATTACATAAAAATCCTTTAAAATTTGTTATAATTTTAACTTAAAACTGAAATATAATTTATTTTTATTGGTATAAATAGATATAGACTGAATTAAAAGTGTGTATTTTAACCAGTCGTTTAATATTTTTGGGGTGAAAGGCTGAAATGTTTGCAAAGCCCTGCTTTAGATGATGACCATCTAACTATGAATATATTAGAAGGTAACAGAAATGTATATTTTTATATATAATGTTTACCATAAGGGAAGACCTGGTTGAATGAGTGCTGATGAGGACAGTTCCTCATAGAGACGGCGGGGCTGTAAAGCAGCTCCGCCTTCTCTCCGATGATGATGATGATGATGATGATGATGGCCTTCATCAGAGGGTTGGTCTTTCTGAGGTCCCCCTCCTGGGTCTCACTGAGATAAGAAGCAGATCCTCCAGCAGTTTACCCAGCATTCCTCTGGAGCTGGTGGAATCGTTCTGGAAGCGGCGGGTTAAGGCTAACCGCTACTTTGAGCCGCTGAGATGTGGACCAGAACCACTGGACCTAGACTTGGAGGAGGTGAGAGCAGAACGGTTCTGACGATGTTCTAGAACAGATCATTTCTGGACGGTAACATGATCTGATTCTACCGGGTTTAATTGGAAACTCGACCCAAACGGCTTCCTGTGGGAACGTTTCTGTTGCTTCATGGGATACGGTAAACAGACCGATGACCGTTGATGATGATTAGAGAACCACCTGACCTGAACAGAAC